AAATTCATTACACAGTCAAATTAACGTTCTCCAATGGTTGAGACTAATCATTTCATGTTTCTTTATTGCCACTCTCAAACCAGTATTTGATGGGCTGAATTTCGCCTTCTATCAGTTCTTTGCTCCTATGATGGTAAAAATTATACGTAAAAGATCGAGACAATGTTGAAAGCGTTTATTTTCTTTTTCGAGGATCTTTTCACAACTCTAGTGTCATTACACTTGCTTAATTGGTTCTGCTTTGGTCACGTAGCTGTTGGATGTTCAGCTTTCGGGTTGCACGAAGCATTGTATTGACTTGACTTTAAACATGCATTGATATAAATTATCCAAAGTGATCAAGCTAAGACCTAGCATGAGGGCATGAAAACCCTAACCAAGAGTCTGAGTCACATAAGTCCTGTTAGGCTCCCTAGCTGAGGACCACGGGATGGTCGTACCCGATGGTTAGAGACACTGAATGATATGGCTGGGTGTCGTAAACAGTGTTCATGCATTTTCTGAACTTCTCCGTATCACTAATCCACTGAAATTTTCAATTTTCTCTTCGATCCTAATTTCAACCTTTCAACGTTTCTCCTAATGTTCATCCAAATGGGCAGCCGAAAGATAGCAACCGAAATCGGCGCACCATAGTGTATGGTTAATGGTTGTGCAAACTGAAACTGAAACACGTTACAAAAAATTAACCACTATCTATCGTATGCACTTACCGAAAGTATATCTAAAGTCGGTTGTACGAAATTCACTTGTGACGTAACACTATAGCGAAAACCGAACAGGTCCGATTCGGAATTGGATACCATAGTGTCTTCTGGAAATGACATTAGCGGTTATCAATAGAGTGATTAGTAACTAATCAGTAATTAGTAGTCATATACGGTAACCAAATCGAGCGCACAAAAGTGCATGGTTAATGCTTGTATAGATTTAATCTGAATTAGTGAGAGAGACAACTGATTTCTAAGCGTTTATGCTCAAACAAACGAACAAACTATAAATTAAAATGTTTTCCAGTCGGAGCTCTCTGAAAGAGGTTCTTATTCTACCTGGCCTCATAAGGATTGATTATTTTTGCGTATGCCTATCCATCGTCTACCTGTCCGTGCTCTCTATGCACGTGCTGGTTAGGACAGAAGAAGTAGCATGAGAGTCAGACGATAAGTTCGGTTGGGGGGTATAATGAGATTAGGTTCGGAATGGGCCTCGGTAAGGATGCGGATTCTTCCTGGCTATTAACATTGACAGATGTGGCTGAGAACAGAAAGTAGTAGCGTCAATCCTGTAC